CACAACATGATCTACTCCACCACCATTAAGGTTACCGCCGAACAAATAAACCAGAGGAAAAACAAAACAAACGGTAACCTGGTTGCCGAGTTCACGAAGTGAATTGGCTTGTTTTACCACGTCGTTGCCAAGCGACGAAAACCCAATCCCGATGGCAAACATCGGGGGGGAGGAAGGAGATGATGAAAAAACAAGCCTAACAAAATATAAAACTTCATCAGAGAACGCTACGGACTGCATCCTCGCTCCTACGTTCGACCGTGGTCTTCTTTCATCTCATGCATATTGTAGCTCACCGGACGTCTCGCTGTCGAAGCCAGGGGCATCCGCCGGAATAGCTCCTAGGCCGGCGCTAGGCCTGGCCGCGTAGTGCGCCTGCATCGGCAGGTTGGCCGCAACCAACCCGCCACCTGCTAGATTTGCACAATACGATACGGCGAGTACAACAACAACACGCGAACGAGCAAGGGTGCGTGACGACCAAATATCCAGACGCGTCGTGTTACAAAATGCACAATCATCTCCTTCTCAAGATACCACTTACCCTTCTGTGTACAGCGCGAGATTCGTGTACGTTTGCCGCGTGTTCTTGTGAACGCCCCAAGGAACATCACGCTGTTATGTGTACTTACCAGTCTCATCCGCACGGGATGTCAACGCGCAATCTCCACCACATCCCATCTCACAAGTGAAACGTGGAATTACCCGTGGAAATACCCGAATGTTGGTGGCACCACCGTCACCATCACCGCACACAAAGCACGTGCACCCACGAACCCTTCCGCTTTCACACTGCCACGTGCCTCGATTATTCGATATGTCCAATATGCCATAATGAAAAATAAATATGTTGGCCAGGTGGGAAGGTCATAAGGCCATTTGTTACGATGTCTTTTTTTAGGCTTTTTTTAGGCTGTTATTTTTTCAATAAATGACAACTGGCCAAATAGCCCCGTGTTATAGGCTGCCAAATAAGGTTCGTTGTCATATTTTAGCAAGAAAAGACGTTGTAACACGGGGCTATTTTGGCCAGTTGTCATTTTTGAAAAATAGACAGCCTAAAAAAAGCCTAAAAAAGGACATCGTAACAAATGGACTAAACGACAGATAAAACCGATGAAAAGTACAAGTTTTTGTTTGTTTGTTTTTCTTCCATCATTGGACTCTGTCGTCTGCCCCTCTGGCCCCTATCCTCCACTTCTACTAGCTAGACGACCCAACCGGGGTCACATAGGAGGGGGGGGTTGGACCCCCTCCTGCGGTTCATGCCGAGGTATTTTTATCGCGAGAAGGGTACAGCAATCCCTGCCCTCGCGACTTACGAAGTCGATTACGGTNAGTACTGCTGTTGCTGGTGGTTTGACGACATGTCTCCGTCTAATGGACAGGGAAGGAGATCCACCTAATCATACAAAAACTAGTGTATCGGCTGTGCGCAGAGAGGGCGCTCAACCAACTTCCCTTCCACCTGGCAAGAAGCACACACGCCCGGTGTAGCGGAAGCAAAGGGATTGCTTCAATGCTTACTGCTGTTGAGGGGCTCTCATTCGGGAAAACAATCGACAACAGCAGTATCGAAAAAACTTGCCCACCCCGCCCGCACGGTGTAAGCCTTGCACACGAACACGACCATATTTTGTTGTGTGAGCTAACATTTGTTTCCTCGGGATGATTTTGTATCGGTGCACCACCAGCAAGGCTAAGGGTAAGTGCATGCAAGATGTGAAGAAAAATTCAACGTACCGAAAGGTTGTACGTTGTTTGCATATCCATGTATCATGGCATGAGCATCGGGAATGTTCAGTCAGTGGTACTTACGACTGTGGAATAATCTCGAACGGGTGGTCTGTCTGTGAGTTTATGTGTACTGTCTAAGAATACTGCTGTGTACTGTAACTAACTCATTTTCCGGGATCGACCGGACACCACAGAAACAATAAGGAAAATACGAAAACGATCGTCGTTCCAATGAATAATCTTAGGAATGGCTTCGTGCATACCAAACAACTGCTGAAACACGTAGTTCAGTAGTGTCGTGGCGAACAAAAAAAAGTGCGCGTGAGTCACACGCGCATTGATCTGGAAGCAGGATTCGACGTTGTCGTCCGCGGGAAGCCCAAATGACAGCAGCAAGGAGCATTTACTTCGGTCGGCATGACATTACGCACGCCCCCTGCTCAACGGGTCTGTCCGTCCTTAAAGATGGGCATTTTTTTTTGCAAAGGACTTCTCTTTGATGGGATCAACCCCAGCCCGAGAGACATATGGCAAGCGTGCCTTCACTACAGCAGTAGACAATCGAAAAGCGTGAGATCAACGGACCTCAGATCAGCACTCCTCGTCTACCCTCGCCCCCCCACCCCGCCTGCAGGGCAGAAGGCAGCCGCAAGTGCATATAACCCGCCGGTTCATCCAATCGTTCGCTTTCAATATAAAAGCGGCAAATTGCTTGCCAACCCACACACGCACGGAACGAACTCCATCACGCACGGTGCTTCATTGGAACACGTGCCGACTTTCGGGAGGGCCATATCCTCCCCACCCTGACGAACCCCTCGTGGGAGTATTGCCAACCCCTGACATCCTTTGCACCACATGCTACTGGTCAGCCTATGCACTCGGGCGCTCAGGTAATTTACCACGTGTTCCTCTGCTGATGCCATGTATGTGTAAGTTCTCCTCGAGTGTTAATACCTGATGGTGGTTCACTCCTTCGGTACATCAGGCCGCTCCCGGAGGCAGCATTAACCTCCTCATCATCGCGGTCGCTGTGCGCATCGCGGTCCGGGTTCCTTGAGTATTCCGCCATCGCAACAATATCCTCCACCAGAAGCACCCGAACTGACGAGATGTTCACGTGCGATGCCGTTGTGTTCCTCTCCAGGCGATGCGGCTGGCTAGCAACAACACACCACGGTCTTTGGCTCCAAAAAAAAAGAGAGCGCGGCAACAGAATGTGCTGCTGGGGTGGAGTGTGCTTTGGGAGGCAGCCTACTGAACGGCAAGGATACGCGTGGCAACGGACGGCAGTAATGCGTGTGGGCACGGTTTGCCTGATCAATACTCTGGTTTGTAGGTTATTTTAGTTCCTTTCGTGGAACGCAGAAAAAAAAAAAAACACCGTCCGGTCCCCGGACCGGTCCCCCAAGTGCTCTAAAGTAACCGCCCCCTTCCACATCCAATATTTTCCAGTGTTCTCGATGTTTTCGCATTTTTTTGTGTTTTATCTAGGAAAATGCGATTCCTGCGGCGATATCGGATCTGCCGCGATCGGGAAATCGGGGTCGAGCAAATCTGTTTCATCGTTCGGCGCACCGGCGCCGGGAAGGACACTAGGAAGAGCGATCATCTCGCCGTGTGATCCCGATCCCGTGCCCGACCGCGAGAGGTCGAGAGCTAACTTTGTTTTTCCATATCTTTCTTTCACCATGCCCCCTCCGCCTTCCTGTGGCGGTGCGTGCATAATTTTGTGTCGCCATAAGGTTCTAGCCTAGCCGTCCCTTTCCCTCGTCAACTGCTGTGCTAATGTCGAAGTGTGGTATACATACTCACGTAAGCTTGTCAACTACATTCCGCTTTCACCCGAACACTTCGTATGTTTTTCACCATTATTCGGGGATTCGAACTCACGACTTGTTAGGCTGACTCTTATGGCAAACGAAAGTTTCCCCGACGGAAAATAAAAACTCGTTGCGAAATTCCGTGCGGATAATCCGTAGGGAAGCTATCTTA